GTGCACCTCATATTCATCCTGTGGCTGGTAGTGGCTAGTTTATTGTTAGCCTCATATACAACCTGTGGCTGGTAGTGGCTATTTTATTGTTAGCCTCATATACATCCTGTGGCTGGTAGTGGCTAGTTTATTGTTAGCCTCATATACATCCTGTGGCTGGTAGTGGCTAGTTTATTGTTAGCCTCATATACATCCTGTGGCTGGTAGTGGCTAGTTTATTGTTAGCCTCATATACATCCTGTGGATGGTAGTGGCTAGTTTATTGTTAACCTCATATACATTCTGTGGATATACATACACAATAGGCCTAGGAACTAGACCCCAAAAGAGTTAACAGGAGTACATCTGGATTAATATCTTCAGTTCACTTATCTGTCACAAGCAAATTTAGGAAATTTGCTGAATATATCTGGTATCTTATTTTCATTACTAAGATATCTTGACATATCACATAAGTTATTATACTGGCTTACTGCAGATAAAGTCAGTGGTAGAAGTACTGATGGTACTTATACAGAAGCCACCACACCAGCGTAATGGAAAGCAGTGTTGTTAGGTAAGACACATATGCAACAGTTAGGTATCTTTATTATGAAACGTTTCGCCTACACAGTAGGCTTCTTCAGTCGAGTACAGAAAAGTTGATAGAAGCAGAAGATACTTGAAGACGATGTAATCAGTCCATCACCCTTAAAGTTTTGAGGTGGTCAGTCCCTCAGTCTGGAGAAGAGCATTGTTCCATAGTATGAAACAATATGGAGATGAAGTGACAGGATGGAGCCTTATATAGCGCCAAGAGGTGAGACGTAGGTCACTAGAAGAGGTAAGAACTCAGATGTTGAGAGGTAATGTAATGGAAAGCACTTGAGCGCCATCAACACAACTTGTGTCAACTTTTGGCATATACCTGGAGCGAACATTAAAATGGTATAAAATACCGACTTTGGAACAATGCTCTTCTCCAGACTGAGGGACTGACCACCTCAAAACTTTAAGGGTGATGGACTGATTACATCGTCTTCAAGTCTCTTCTGCTTCTATCAACTTTTCTGTACTCGACTGAAGAAGCCTACTGTGTAGGCGAAACGTTTCGAAATAAAGATACGTAAGTGTTGCATATGTGTCTTACCTGACATATACCTGGAGTATACCTGGGGGAGTTTTGGGGGTCTACGCCCTCGCGGCCAGGTCCTTGACCAGGCCTCGTGTAGGTTATCATAGTGTCCATCAAGGAGAGGTGTGGTGGACGTGAAGTTTACCAGAGTTTGTTGTTGTTGTTGTTGTTGTTGTTGTTGTTGTTGTCCTTGAAAAAGAGATCCTAATAAATAATAGTTCACAAAAAAATCGCACATAGAAGACAAAGTTCTGGCAATGTTTCGGTCCGACTTGGATTAAAATAATAGTTGTGTAATAACTTCAATAAACGCTATGTAAAAGTAGGGGAATGTTATTATGAAAATGGAGAGGCCAAAAGACATATGTCTAGTACTCAGTGGTACTCACAATACTCGTCTGGACTCACTGGTATTCAGAATGTTCCATTATCCTGTCAAGAGTTGTAGTACATGAGAGGATCTTTCCGGCTCTCTCTGGCTCTCACACCAGTCTTCTCTCTTGTCATTCTCAACCTTCTTCAGAACACTGTTGCTCCATCTCTGGTTAAAGGTAAACAGTCGTGTTTGTCTTGGTAAATACATCACGGTTTTAGACCAGTAAAATTTTCCTTACTGGCTTAGTCTCTTAAAAGTCCAGGTCACCACAACTTTAGTGGAGGAGAATGAGGGTGGGTTCAGATCTCTGCCATGGAGAAGCATGGGCAGGTTTCCTTGCGCCGCTGCTCACCTACCAGTTAAAATAGGTACCTGTGTATTAAACTGTTTTGGGTTGCATACTGAGAAATGCAGTAAAATCAACAGGTGATATCGCAATATGCAAAATGACCACAGTGAAAAAATAGTGAAATTCCAAGAGCTTGCCTTGATAATGTGAGAAATAACGAAAGTTCTCGGAATTTCACTATTTTTTTTACTGTGGTTGTTTTGCATCCTGTGAAAAATGTGTAGAGAACTTCATTCCTACTGGAATGTCATGTCCTGTGTAAGACAACACTCCAGTCCTGTGTAAGACAACACTCCAGTCCTGTGTAAGACAACACTCCAGTCCTGTGTAAGACAACACTCCAGTCCTGTGTAAGACAACACTCCAGTTTTGTGTAAGACAACACTCCAGTTTTGTGTAAGACAACACTCAGTCCTGTGTAAGACAACACTCCAGTTTTGTGTAAGACAACACTCAGTCCTGTGTAAGACAACACTCCAGTCCTGTGTAAGACAACACTCCAGTTTTGTGTAAGACAACACTCCAGTCCTGTGTAAGACAACACTCCAGTTTTGTGTAAGACAACACTCCAGTCCTGTGTAAGACAACACTCCAGTCCTGTGTAAGACAACACTCCAGTTTTGTGTAAGACAACACTCCAGTCCTGTGTAAGACAACACTCCAGTCCTGTGTAAGACAACACTCCAGTCCTGTGTAAGACAACACTCCAGTCCTGTGTAAGACAACACTTCAGTCTTGTGTAAGACAACACTCCAGTCCTGTGTAAGACAACACTTCAGTCTTGTGTAAGACAACACTTCAGTCTTGTGTAAGACAACACTTCAGTCCTGTGTAAGACAACACTCCAGTCCTGTGTAAGACAACACTTCAGTCTTGTGTATGACAACACTCCAGTCTTGTGTAAGACAACACTCCAGTCCTGTGTAAGACAACACTCCAGTCCTGTGTAAGACAACACTCCAGTCCTGTGTAAGACAACTCTCCAGTCCTGTGTAAGACAACACTCCAGTCCTGTGTAAGACAACACTCCAGTCTTGTGTAAGACAACTCTCCAGTCCCGTGTAAGACAACACTCCAGTCTTGTGTAAGACAACTCTCCAGTCCTGTGTAAGACAACACTCCAGTCCTGTGTAAGACAACACTCCAGTCCTGTGTAAGACAACACTCCAGTCTTGTGTAAGACAACTCTCCAGTCCCGTGTAAGACAACACTCCAGTCTTGTGTAAGACAACACTTCAGTCTTGTGTAAGACAACACTTCAGTCTTGTGTAAGACAACACTCCAGTCCTGTGTAAGACAACACTCCAGTCTTGTGTAAGACAACACTTCAGTCTTGTGTAAGACAACACTCCAGTCTTGTGTAAGACAACACTTCAGTCTTGTGTAAGACAACACTCCAGTCTTGTGTAAGACAACACTTCAGTCTTGTGTAAGACAACACTTCAGTCTTGTGTAAGACAACACTCCAGTCCTGTGTAAGACAACACTCCAGTCTTGTGTAAGACAACACTTCAGTCTTGTGTAAGACAACACTCCAGTCCTGTGTAAGACAACACTTCAGTCTTGTGTAAGACAACACTTCAGTCTTGTGTAAGACAACACTCCAGTCCTGTGTAAGACAACACTCCAGTCTTGTGTAAGACAACACTTCAGTCTTGTGTAAGACAACACTTCAGTCTTGTGTAAGACAACACTAGTCTTGTGTAAGACAACACTCCAGTCTTGTGTAAGACAACACTTCAGTCTTGTGTAAGACAACACTTCAGTCTTGTGTAAGACAACACTCCAGTCTTGTGTAAGACAACACTTCAGTCTTGTGTAAGACAACACTTCAGTCTTGTGTAAGACAACACTCCAGTCCTGTGTAAGACAACACTTCAGTCTTGTGTAAGACAACACTTCAGTCTTGTGTAAGACAACACTCCAGTCCTGTGTAAGACAACACTCCAGTCTTGTGTAAGACAACACTTCAGTCTTGTGTAAGACAACACTTCAGTCTTGTGTAAGACAACACTAGTCTTGTGTAAGACAACACTCCAGTCCTGTGTAAGACAACACTCCAGTCCTGTGTAAGACAACACTCCAGTCCTGTGTAAGACAACACTCCAGTCCTGTGTAAGACAACACTCCAGTCCTGTGTAAGACAACACTCCAGTCCTGTGTAAGACAACACTCCAGTCCTGTGTAAGACAACACTCCAGTCCTGTGTAAGACAACACTCCAGTCTTGTGTAAGACAACACTCCAGTCCTGTGTAAGACAACACTCCAGTCTTGTGTAAGACAACACTCCAGTCCTGTGTAAGACAACACTCCAGTCCTGTGTAAGACAACACTCCAGTCCTGTGTAAGACAACACTCAGTCTTGTGTAAGACAACACTCCAGTCTTGTGTAAGACAACACTCCAGTTTTGTGTAAGACAACTCTCCAGTCCTGTGTAAGACAACACTCAGTCTTGTGGAAGAGACTGCAGTCCTTCTGAGGGTATTCAAATATTGGATAGAAGATATTATCTGTCTACCTAATGTTAATTTAAAAAACTCCATTTCCCTTCCTCCACTGTCCTCTTACTCCAGCTCCTCCACCTACCTCTGCTTATCCCCTTCCCTCCCTCCTCCATCTCCCCTCTCCTCTCCCTCCCCCATCCTCCCCCCCCCTACTACACATCATGTTGCTCAACTTGAGCGTCGTGTGTGTGTGGAATCTTCACTTCCGTTTTTACATGGTCAAACTTGTGGCCAATAACTCAACTCCGGGCAAAGTTTTCCCTCCTTCTCTCCCTCCCTCCCTCCAGAGTTTATATGAGTTTCCCCTCCCTCCCTCCAGAGTTTATATGAGTATCAATTTTAACTCCTTCCCCTCCTTCAGTCGTCCCCAAATTTGAGTGGCCTACTGTCACTGTACGACCCTAGTGTCAAGTATTTCCAGTGAATATTATACTAAATATTACTACTACTACAGCCATTACCACTATTACTACTATTGCTGCTACTACTACTACTACTACTACTACTACTACTACTACTACTACTACTACTACTACTACTGACAATAATGTTTCAGGTTCAACAGTGAGGTTGTCTTGTGCTCACATGTTTGTATTTATTCATCAGTATAGTGAGTGTCTCTGGATATTAATTCAGATTTTTTGTTCCTCCCTAGGTAAGTTGTTGAGAGTTGCCACGCCGCCCACGCCCACATATGTTGAGTGTTGCCACACAGCCCACACCCACGTATGTTGAGTGTTGCCCACGCCCACGTATGGTGAGTGCTGCCACACTGCCCACACCCACGTATGTTGAGTGTTGCCACACAGTCCACACCCACGTATGTTGAGTGTTGCCCACGCCCACGTATGGTGAGTGTTGTCACACTGCCCACACCCACGTATGTTGAGTGTTGCCACACAGTCCACACCCACGTATATTGAGTGTTGCCCACGCCCACGTATGGTGAGTGTTGTCACACTGCCCACACCCACGTATGTTGAGTGTTGCCACACAGTCCACACCCACGTATATTGAGTGTTGCCCACGCCCACGTATGGTGAGTGCTGCCACACTGCCCACACCCACGTTTGTTGAGTGTTGCCACACAGTCCACGCCCACCTATGAGCGTTGCCACACAGTCCACGTCCACGTATGTTGATTGTTGTCACACAGTCCACGTCCACGTATGTTGATTGTTGTCACACAGTCCACGCCCACGTATGGTGAGTGTTCCAGCATAGTCCACGCCCACGTATGTTGTGTGTTACCCCGCCCCACACACACACACACACACACACACACACACACACACACAACACAGTAACACACACACACACACACACACACACACACACACACACACACACACACACACACACACACACACACACAAACACAGTCCACGCCCACGTATGTTGAGTGTTACCTAGAGGTTATTCCGGGGATCAACGCCCCCGCGGCCCGGTCCATGACCATCCCTCTCGGTGGATCAGGGCCTGATCAACCAGGCTGTTAATGCTGACTGCACGCAGTCCAACGTACGAGCCACAGCCCGGCTGATCTGGCACTGACTTTGGGTATCTGTCCAGCTCTCTCTTGAAGGCAGCCAGGGGTTTATTGGTAATTCCCCTAATGCTTGATGGGAGGCTGTTGAATAGTCTTGGGCTCCGGACACTTATGGTGTTTTCCCTTAGTGTACCATTGGCGCCCCTACTTTTAATTGTGGGCATTTTGCATCGCCTGCCCAGTCTTTTACTTTCGTAGGGAGTGATTTGTGTGTGCAGATTTGGGACCATTCCTTCCAGGATTTTCCAAGTGTAGATTATGATATATCTCTTCCCCCCCTCACACACACAGTAAAACCACACACACACACACACACACACACACACACACACACACACACACACACACACACACACACACACACACACTGTAGACAGCCTGTACTGTCTGCACAGACAGCCCATGCTGTCTGCCAGCTTAGTTCATATTTCGCGCCACTCAAGTGCTGCCACCTATAGGCCTTGCCACTTCAGTATGCCCAGACTTGCCTCGCTCTCACTCACACAGCGGCCTGGTTTCAACACACAAGTACTCTCATTCTCTCTCTCGTGGGCATGGCCCTGCCCGGGCCATGGGCACAAACACACAAGCCTGTGTAACCCACCACTACTTAACAATAAAGTAAGAAGCCTCCGAAGAAGTATATCATTTAACTACCCGCTCTACAGCTACCAAACAACCCCTTTATATTGGTACCAGCGGTGGTCGCAGCGTTGTGTTTACCCTGGAGAGAGGAAGGAGAGGTATGAAGTCACCTTCACTTCATCACCCTACATAAGAAGCATCCGTCTCTCAACGAGTTATCCTGATGTCGTGTCTGCACGTTTGAGCATCCAGACACAGGTACAAGCAGGATCCAGCCGAAATTTATCGAAATTCTACGAGAATTGTAAGTGGCGTCCCAGTGACCCCACGCTGTTTCTCAAGTCACGTGTTCAGCGTCACTTGTATGTTGCTGTTGTTCAGCTTAGCACAGCTGTTTCAGCGAGCCAGAGGTGAGTTTGTGGTGATTTCTGCGTCCAGTGTGCGTTTCGCCGTGTTTTGGGTTTGAGAGGAGGAAGTTGCCAGATCCTCCCTCGCCGTACACTCACCCACGCTCCTCGCCACCACACTACCATACACCACCACGCCATCTCCCCTCTGCTGTGTTTTCTGTGTTTTTGTGTGAATTCTTGCCAGTGCTGTGTATCCGAGTGCCCGAGGCCACTCGAAGCTGCGTGATCGCATCCCACGTAGATCACGACACCACGTGGATCGCCCACCACGTTGGGTGTGGCCGATGTCATGTAGACCTACAAAGCCACGTGAGTTACCAGATGTCCCAGGCCTCATGCTGTGGTCTGCTGCCCGCATCACTCGACGCCACCCACGATGCTCCCGACTTCATGACGTCACGATGTCTGCTGAGTCACCTCACGATGTCTGCTGACGTACCTCGAGATGTTCTGCTGACGTCACCCTCACGATTGTCTGCACCTCGAGATGTCTGCTGACGTCACCTCCAGATGTTCGTGCTGACGTCACCTCACGATGTCTGCCTGACGTCACCTACGAGATGCTGACGTCACACGATGTCTGCTGACGTCACGATGTCTGCTGACGTCAACACACACACACAGTAAAACACACACACACACACACACACACACACACACACACACACACACACACACACACACACACACACATACACACACACACACACACATAGTCTACGCCCATCTATTTTGTTAAAGTATTTGAAGAATGGTGTCTCAGATGAATTAATATAGATCTCTGAGAAATAATTAAGACTTACTTTGGAGATGGGAGAGTGTTGGAAGTGGAGTTGTTGTCAAGTTACTCCAGAGATTTTGAATGAACAAGATTTTGTTAGGATTTTAAACTGTGACGCAGCGATGTTGTTGTAGTTGTTGCTGTGTTTTTTGTTGTAGTTGCTGTTGTTATTGTTGTGGTTGTTGCTGTGGTTGTTGTGGTTGTTGCTGTTGTGGTTTGTTTTGTTGTTGTGGTTGTTGTTGCTGTTGTGGTTTTTGTGGTTGTTGCTGTTGTGGTTTGTGTGTTGTGGTTATTGCTGTTGTAGTTATAGATGCTGTTGTTGCTGTTGTGGTTATCGTTGTTGCTGTTATAGTTATGGTTGCCGTTGCAGTTGTGGTCGTTTACATTGTTGTTGTTGTGGTAGTTATGGTTGCTCTGGTTTTTGTTATGGTTGCTGCATAGGTGGTCCTTCCTTACAATGGTTTGTGGGAGAGAAAGAAAGACAAAGAAACAGACGCACGCACACGCACACACACACACACACACACACACACACACACACACACCCCACACACACACACACACACACACACACACACACACACACACACGCACGCACACACACACACGCACACACACACACACACACACACACACACACACAACACACACACACACACGCACACACCACACACACACACACACACACACACACACACACACACACACACACACACACAAAGACTCACCTACTTACAAACAAGTGTGGAGAACACCTGAACAACAGCAGGTGTTCACTCGCGCATTTTGCAGCTGTCTGGAGTTTGTTTTTATATACTAGAGGAATAATGGCACTTACATGACGAGTTTTATTAAAAAGACAGTAAAGAATATTTTATTGGCACTAGGTGTCAGCCACCGGTGTCAGCCAGTAGGATCCTATAGTACCACTTGAGTGGCTGACACTATAGGCTCTGCTCTTTGTAAACCATGGGCTCTATACTTTGCATTCTCTGGTACATATCTGTTCGTAGCTTTCTGGCGTGAGAGAGAGAGAGAGAGAGAGAGAGAGAGAGAGAGAGAGAGAGAGAGAGAGAGAGAGAGAGAGAGAGAGAGAGAGAGAGAGAGAGAGAGAGACTAAGAGCACCTCTAATGGCTTGATATTGCCAGCACTTCCAGAGCAGTAAACAGGAAACTGCGGTGTTGAGTCCCACCATCCATGTGGGGGTGTTGGAGGTCTGCCATCCATGTGGGGGCGTGGGAGGTTTGCCATTCATATGGAGGTGTGGGAGACCTGTCATTTATGTGGGGAAACCTGCCATCTATTTGGGGGTGTGGGGGTGGCCTGCCATCCATGTGAGTGTAGAGAGGCCTGCCATCCATGTGGGTGTGGGGGAGGCCTGCCGTTCGTGTGGGTTTGGGGGGGCCTGCCATCCATGTGCGTGTGGGGAAGGCCTGTCATCCATGTGGGTTGGCGGAGTCCTGCCATCCATGTGGGTTTGGAGGAGGCCTGCCATCCATGTGCGTGTGGGGGAGGCCTGTCATCCGTGTACGTGTGAGGGAGGCTTGCTATCCATGTGCGTGTGGGGGAGGCCTGCCATCCACGTGCAGGTGTGCCACTTGTGGTGGTGCTGGGCGGCACTGATCCAGTAGCACTTGCGGTCTTTTTGTGTTACGAGCGTGTTGTTGTACACTGTTCAACACCTGTACATTTTAGCAGGTGTTTTGTACACTTGTTTGTAGGTAGGTGCGTCTTTGTTGTCAACACAGTGTGTTCACAGAGGAGACAGAAGGGGCTCCAGAAAGACGGAGAGGTGGGGTACACCACCATGTGCTGGACACAGTACACACAACCGAGGAAGTGAAGAGGCTTCTGAGTGAGCTAGATACCTCAAAGGCAATGGGGCCGGATAACATCTCTCCATGGGTCCTGAGAGAGGGAACAGAGGCGCTGTGTGTACCCCTAACAACAATATTCAATACATCTATCGAAAAAGGGAGATTGCCTGAGGCATGGAAGACAGCAAATGTAGTCCCAGTTTTTTAAAAAAGGAGACAGACATGAAGCACTAAACTACAGACCAGTGTCACTGACATGCATAGTGTGCAAAATCATGGAGAAGATTATCAGGAGAAGAGTGGTGGAACACCTAGAAAGGAATGATCTCATCAACAGCAGCCAACATGGTTTCAGGGACGGGAAATCCTGTGTTACAAACCTACTGGAGTTCTATGACAGGGTGACAGCAGTAAGACAAGAGAGAGAGGGGTGGGTAGATTGCATTTTCTTGGACTGTAAGAAAGCGTTTGACACAGTTCCACACAAGAGATTAGTGCAAAAACTGGAGGACCAGGCAGGGATAACAGGGAAGGCACTACAATGGATGAGGGAATACTTGTCAGGAAGACAGCAGCGAGTCATGGTACGTGGCGAGGTGGGCGCCTGTGACGAGCGGGGTCCCACAGGGGTCAGTCCTAGGACCAGCGCTGTTTCTGGTATTTGTGAACGACATGACGGAAGGAATAGACTCCGAAGTGTCCATGTTTGCAGATGACGTGAAGTTGATGAGAAGAATTCATTTGGTCGAAGACCAGGCAGAACTACAAAGGGATCTGAGCTAAGAGGTATGTCCTATGAGGAGGGGTTAAGGGAAATCAACCTGACGACACTGGAGGACAGGAGAGATAGGGGGGGGACATGATAACGACATACAAAATGCTGAGAGGAATTGACATGGTGGAAAAAGACAGGATGTTCCAGAGATGGGACACAGCAACAAGGGGACACAGTTGGAAGTTGAAGACACAGATGAATCACAGGGATGTTAGGAAGTACTTCTTCAGCCACAGAGTAGTCAGGAAGTGGAATAGTTTGGGAAGTGATGTAGTGGAGGCAGGATCCATACATAGCTTTAAGCAGAGGTATGATAAAGCTCACGGTTCAGGGAGAGT